AACATGACAATTTTAAAATAACAAGGTTAAAAGTTATCTGCAGGGCTATGTATATAGAAATCGTTTTTTTTTTTTTTAACCAATTGCATAAGAGCGCACGCTGAAAATGGTCACAACTATTGGCACACAATTAAGGTTGACAGTGGTTGCGTTAATTTAATTAATGAGGCATTGTATGCAGTACTGCCAGTCTTTCATGTACATACATGCACATGTGCATATTCATTTGCACATATTTTAATAAGTACGGGGACATTTATAGGTACATACTTACATACATACATAAATACCAATAAGTAAAAACATAAATCCCGAATGAGTAAATTTACGATAATCGACGCTTCAAAAATCATGATGATAATCAAAACTTTAAAGGACCTAGGTATTCTGTTGCAACAATACAAAGTAGCTTAAGTCTACGAGCTAGCTTCATCATAATGCACCTTTCCGTTTGTAATTTAAACCCCACGGAATTTTCTGATGATTACGAGGATATTGACGGATGCTTGCTGGCATCATATTTATTACTATTACATTTATTTGCCAACCATTATAAAACGAGTATAAACAACTAATTTTTAAACTAAAAACAAAACCGACATCAATTCTCATATACAAATTTTAGATTTCATTCAAGATTCAATGATCGGATTTAAACCAAATTAGAATGGGAACACCTGTGAGGTAGCATATTTCCTTTAAAACAAGAACTATAGAAATCGGTTAACGTGGTCCAAAGATATGCGGTAACATACCTAAAAAAATATAAAAAAATAAAAATATTCCAACGCATTGATAACCTTCCTCCTTTTTGTAAGGTCGGTTAAAAACAGGTACGGCTCTTTAAAAAGTGACATGTAACTCCGCTGTTTTTGCCACCAAATCTTTAAACTTTTTTTGTTGCATTTTAATATATCCTACAAAAATCTACGAAAACGCTGTTTCGAAAAAAGTGTTGATTAGGGCCGTTGTGAATTAAGGTAACAATATGTATGTATGTACTTCGGGATACAAATAAGGATAGATAAATAATAGATATGTATATTGTATTATCAAAAACTTTTGTGTTACAACTCATAAAGCTATGTATGCCAGACCCGGAGCGGCTTAAATCTCAGTCGATGCGGTAACATTAACACAATTGTTGTAAAAACTATGCTATATTTGCCAATATTTTATTTTATTTTAGAACAGTACTTTACAGTTGTTATAATTATATTGTATATATTTCCAGCTATTGTCGCGATATACGCCGTGAAATCGTTAAAAAAATGCGAAATGGTTGCGCTCCTCTATTCATTGCTTGTAAACGAGGCTGCGTTCCTATAGCAGAGTATCTGGTTACCGTGTGTGAGGCCGATATCGAGCAGCGTGGCCTCTATGAGGTGCCAGAAGATCGTACATTTCATTACGTCACACCACTCTGGTGCGCCGTTGTATCTGGAAAATTACCTATGGTCAAATATTTAATTCGCATTGGCTGTGATATAAATGCTACTTCAGATTCAGGATCAACACCAGTGCGTAGTGCTTGTTTCATGACACATGTTGAAATTGGTAAGTGTATACATACTGCTTTACATGTACAAACGTGTGTGTCTAATCTAGCATTTTATTCTTGCAGTACAATATTTAGTCGAAGCGGGTGCTGATATCAAAAAGCCAAACATGAATGGCGGAACTTGTCTCATAAATTCTGTACAATCGATTCAATTATGTTTATATTTGATTAAAAAGGGCGCTGATGTCAACGCCAAGGATATACAAGAGAAGACTGCCCTACATTACGCCATACAGGAACATAGGTTCGTCAGAACTAATAATTATCTGTAATTAATTGCGTGCTTACCCATGCTCAGCAATTGACATTTGATTTCAACACTTAAAATTTAAATTTCCTCCTCAGATTAGAAACTACAAAGCTATTACTGGAACACGGTGCGGACCCATATGTAAAAAGTCGCTATGGCGATGATGCATTACGCACTGCTTGCATTAAAGGAGCTAATCAAATTTTCGATTATTTGAAAACGCATCTCGAATATTCGCCCGAGCGCATTGCTGAGGCTCACGAATTGATCGGTAATCAAGATTAAAAGATTTATTTACTAATCGCAGTTGAGAATGTATATATATATTTTTGTTTTTATTAATTTAGGCTCAACGTTTTTGGATGAACATAATGAAACCAGAGTGGCAATACTTCATTGGCGATTAGCACATCACATACGAGCTTCACATACTCCCTACCTAGGTAAGTACTTTTATACATAAATATGATTCGGTCTAATGAAAATATGTATGTTTCAAATTTCCTTACTTCTGAATCCAGAAAAACAGCCAAGAGTACCACTGCGTCCTGCATATGGGAATGCCGTTGAATTTACGACACTCGAAGAGCTTGACAATATTGCTACAGATATGGATGCAATGCGTATACAAAGTTTGTTGATTTGCGAGCGTATACTCGGCATAACGCACAAAGATATGCTCTTCCGTTTAACTTTTCGAGGCGCCTCTTATGCCGACTCTCTACAGCTACAACGTTGCATCGATTTGTGGCGACTTTTGTTAGAAGTGCGGGTTACGCATTGCTCCGTACTCCATTTTGATACATGTTATGCGGCTCAAGCACTAGTACGTTTAATGATCGACTTGCACGAACGCTATATGCGCAACAGGAATCAACGTGCAAACGAAATTTCACCTGCATTGCTGCAAGGTGAAGCAAATGCAGTGAAAGAAGAGCCTTTGCCACTGTTCGAAGATGTATTCGGCGTATTTTGCCTACTAACCGATACAATCGCCGATGCGCAAGAATTGCTGCTAGTACGGCCAGTCTATCGGAAGCAACAAGAAAATTTCGATCGCATATTAAAATGTATCGCTCATTTAATTTATTTGTTAATTAATACGGCAAATACGCATGAGCAAAAAAAGTCTGTGTTCTGTGCGGTGCGAGAGCTTGTGCGAGCGAATGTGCGCAGTGCTTGCACTTGCGACACGTTGTTACATCTATGTGTTTCACGCCTGAATGTCATAAAGAGTGGTTATCTGAGCGATGAGAATAATTTAACGGTAAGTATAAAAGGCTCAATTTTTATATGTAAAGCTGACTTAATTATAACGTACTTTTTTTGTATATAGATTGTGTTTCCAAATGCAAATGTTATCAAATTGCTGCTTGACTGTGGCATGAATGTAAATGCCAAAAATGAGGCCAAATCAACGCCATTGCATGTTGCCGTGCAACCTTACAATTATAGCAATGATGTAAGCTTGAAAATATATAATTTTTCAATTGTGTATTGAGAATTTTTTAACTTCTGTTTTTTATAGATAATACTATTATTGCTAGAACACGGTGCAGATTTAGACCAGCCAAATAAATCAGATGAGCGACCATTTAATTTGATTGTAAGCAATCCAGCCAATACGATACCACTAATGAATTATATGAATCTCAAGTGTCTATCTGCTACAATAATAAGTAAATACAAAATTCCATATCGCGACCAAATACCAAAATTGCTTGAGGAATTTGTTAAGCAACATGAACCTTGAAGGTATACGTATATGCCAAAGCAAAATATCTGAACGCAAAATTTTTTTAAAGGCATTTAATATATAGTATATCACTACAATTAAAACTATACACCTCTAATAACTATGAAAGTCATACGAACAACATAAAAAAATGAAATGCGAAGCAAAATTGAAAAAGTGATATGTATTATATATATATGTATAATTTGCTATATTTATGTGAATGCTTGTTGTGAGGAAAACGTTTGTAAATGGTAGCAAAAGAAAAATTAATAGTTTGAATCGAAAAGAAGAAAACAAGCTTGATCTGCACAAGAAACGAGATTTTCATAAGTTAAAAACATACAGGCATATGAAAAAATGAATATTTTCAAATTAGTTCAACGATAAACTCATAGTGTGAGCTAATTAAATCCAGGTAATTAACAAATTTTTGGTATTATCATACAGGACATAAGCGTATACATAGATCTATAGTACATAATTGTGCACATATAAATACAAGTATGTTTTCAAAAACTATTTTATATTCGTCTTATTTGGCAATGCATACATATGTACATATTATTTTATATTAATACTGTATAACGCAAATCGTACTTGTATACACCAAACAATACTATTTACTTACATGTGTGTAATCTAATTTTAAATCAGAGTTTAAACATTGTATTAATAAAACTATTTAAACAAAAATTACATAACGATGATTTTTTATTTAAACTAATTTCATTGTCCGACAGTGTTGTATACATTGCCTATTGCTGTTGATGTGACAGCATAAATATTCCCCATGAAGATTTGGGGAATACGGTTGAAGTGACAGTCCTTGGGTTTGTTCCGGTTAAGTAGGCCAGCACTTCTTTTTAATTATTTGATTTCAAAAAATAATGAAATGCTGCTGAATATCAGTTGACAAACACTGTTTACAAGGTTATCTAAGTTAACCAGACACTGAAATTTAAATTATTCACCCTCATTGCGAGAGTCGTGTCGGATGCAAGTCGTTTTTCGAGAGTCGAATCGTATCGAAAATTTCACGTCATTGCCTAAAATTTCCACTCGACTAGTGTATTAAAACGGAAAAACTTGGCAGCACTGTATAGTTTTCGACAAATTTCGTCGTTTACTTTTTTCAGCACGACAGTAAACAATGCCAATGTTGTCCAGTCGTACAATTTAGCCTAATTTACGACTTACGCAATGAGGCTGATTATCTGACTCGCTATTAACTCTTTCTTACATCCTTAGTAAAGGTAATGAGCAAATTCGGTCGTCACTGAGAAAATGGTCCTTAGAAATGTGGATATGGAGTAGGGCTGATGATACCCGGGTGCCCGGGTAATTCGGGTAATGCCCGGGTACCCGATTACCCGGGTATTACCCGGGGCTTTTATTACCCGGGTAGTCGGGTATTACCCGATTTGCCCGGGTACCCGGGTAATATACATATGTTGGTGCCGGTTAAACGAAAAACACCCGGGTAATGCGACATAAAGCTTCTTGTATAATCTTTTTGGTGAGGATAAATATTTTTTCAGTGAGAAAATTTTTTTTTATAATTATTTTTTTATGTCTAGAGTGTACGCGACTATGTACACCTAACCGCTTGCCTGAGTAGACGGAGACAAGAAAAGTAAATTAAAACATTAGTTTCTGTACTTAAATTCAAACTTCTAATTTTTGTAAATGCATATACATACATGCATGTGTACATATGTATGTATGTATGTATATTTTAAAGAATATTAAATATTAATATTTTAAAACAGGGACTGAGAACGAAATGTATGATCGAAACTAAATGCCATTGTCGTAGTTTTGTTCCCAAGAACGCGTCAAAACCAAAACCAAAATGAGAACAAAACTGACGAGAACGTTCTCATTGGGAATTATATAAGAACTAAACCCTGTGGTAGGCCACTTCTGGTACAAAAAGTAAGGTAACAAAGCCTTATGCTATTCATTCACCTAAAGATTTTGTACTTTTATTGTATCAGCTTGCTCAAATTATAGTTTCTTTTCTCATAATATTTAAAGCTTTTAAAATCACAATTATTTAATGAAGTTTCCTTAATACGAGAAGTAGGTTGATGAACGTATTGTTGTGAAATAATTGTGGAAGAAATTTTAAAATTTTTTTCATTCCAACACAAAAATTGCCTCAACTGTCGGTCATCGTTTAGATTCGCAGGTGGGTGTGTCTCAATAATTTTATTTGTTACCGATCCGATATCTGTACGTGCATTACCAACTTCGTAAATATTAATATTTTAGACATGCCTAAAACAAGCTGGGTTTGGAAGTACGCTTGTGTGATGAATGAAGGATTTGTCAAGTGCAATGTATGTGTTGTATATTATAATATTTCCCCATATGGTACGGAAGATTCTTATAGATTTTCCCTATGTACGTTCGTTTGCGTTATATGATCGTAAATGCGTTTAATTTTCATCTCTCCACATTTTTTCGGGTGCCCGGGTACCCGGGTAATTACCATACTGCCCGGGTACCCGGTCTACCCGGGTCTACCCGGGTTATAAAATACCCGGGTACCCGGGCTACCCGGGTAATTCAATACCCGGGTAGGGCTTCACCCGCTACCCGGGTACCCGGGTAGCTCATTACCCGGGTGAAATCATCAGCCCTAATATGGAGCTAATTGACGTAATTTAAGGGAATAAACTATAGTAAAGGGGTTAAAGCAACAAATTGAGAAAATTGCGGACTATTTATTACTCCAATCCTTTTTTTCGCAACCTAATATCTAAGTCGAAGAACATTGAGTATCCTAAATCCAGAAATCTATTTTTTAATTTTGTTTAAACTTATTTCCTTTCGGCCCGACTAGGAGAAAAAACAATAAATTTAAGATAAGGGCGTATCTGAGAGAAACCTATCGAAATATTTAATAACATGTTCTCGAAAAAATTTCATTCAACATAGAATAGAAGCTAAAGTCTCAGAATACCATACCTGTGTACATGTACATATGTATGTATATGTAATGCTATATTCACTACATTTTCTAAATTACAAGGAATTTGTTTATAATGCTGGATTTCCACTAGGCATTGAATGGCAAAAATGTCAAAGTCGGACATTAAAAAATAATCGAATCATTACATTAAAAAAATAATCATTAAGTTCATTTCATGGCATACATTTTTTGTCATTTGAGTGCCTAGTGGAAATTCGGCATAAGATTTGAGCAGTTAGCATCAAAATTATATGTCTTATAGTTCATTTCCACAAAGCCTTAGCTGCAGCTTATGCATATTAGAAAAAGGAAATTGCAACTAGAAAGGGGTAAGCTCAAATAAACGAAGGTAAGAAATCAAAAACTAAGAAAATAAACTTGCCCATCATCCCATGTAAAATTCTTGGAACCTGCAGTTAAACTTTTGGTGCAAATGTGCTATTACATTCATTTGTATTTAAATAACTACGCCAACATTCGCAAGCATATGCTACAAGTGGTGCATTATACTAAAGTCACAAAGTTTGACGAAATGTGCTTTGAATAAGACTGCTTTTACACACTTCAAGTATTGAATTCAATTCTGCTCGCATGAGGAAGAGAGGGGGTGAGAAGAAAAGGGACGAGTACACATGTGTCTGTACTGTCAAGTCGTTTCAACTTTCTTGCTTTGCTTTTGACATTTTCTTTGTTTCCCATTTAAAGAACCAAAAACTTGAATTCAAGAGAATGTGAAGCAAAAGAGAATTAGCAAGAATTTCTTTTAAGTAGTTGAATCATGCAAATCGGGTGTAACGCTTTAGTGAAACCAAGCTTTAAAAAATTATGATGTAGTTACTCCAAAGCGAATTAAAAATGAATGAAAGTAAATTTTTAAAATTAAATACATATATACTCACTTTAAAATGATTTCATGGAGCTAAATTCCTACCGGAAATACCTTTTGTGACACTCAATTATATTAACTTATCGCCTAACTAATTTATTAAATACAATTCTCACCTACATGCCTATGTATCTGTTTCACCTTTGCATTCGTGACCATTGCACATGTCTTTAAAGAAAGCGTTTGAAATACTCACGCACGCCGAGTTGCTGAGAAAAGTGCTAGTTGCCTTTTTTTTTAACCGACTTCACAAAAAGGAGAAGGTTATCAGTTCTTCGTCGGAATATTTGTTTTTTTTTTATGTATGTTAGCGCATAACTTTGGACTGCGTTAACCGATTTCTATAAATCTTTTTTTAAAGGTTTTAACTCAAAGGTGGTCCCATACTAATTTGTTTTAAATCCGATTATTGGATCATGAAGAAAGTAAGAATTGAAGTCGGTTATGCTTTTTGCTTAAAAATTACTTGTTTTATAAAATTCTCTCCGGACACCTACCATGAGCAACCAGCAGCAGTGTCTTTACCTTCGCTCAGCGCCAACGCATTCAACAGGTTGAAGTGAAAAGGCCCAAAGAGTGGACAATCAGTCGCTGCGGAAACATTGTCGAGGTTGTGAGTCAAGAATATTGTCGCTTATACGGTTTTATGGTGGGACAGACATATTTATATGTACATACATAACTACATTATATGTACATATATAATCGCACATACATAGCGATAAACGCGCAAGCGCAGCTGATTTACTTGCGGGCATTGCTTAAAGTGGCTTAGTGGACAAAAAAAAAAAACAAAAAACGACAATGGTTGCGTATTGGTATTAGCGACTAGAGCTCGTTTTATTTTGTTGTTCGTTTGTTAATTTTACTCTCGTGTTTTTATGTGAAAGTGATTGATTTATTTAAAACATATGCCAAAAGGTGTGAAAACGAAGAATGTTAAGCCAAAACGCTTTAATTTTAAAGCAATAATCCCCACTAAGATTCACATATAAAAGCATAGTTAGCCCACGGTAGTGATATGTTTTTATTGAAAACTCGCAAAAACGGAAATTGTGACGAATGCAAAGTGCCGAGGCCACGCAGTCAAAGCGTTTATGATGGCCAAGCGAGAAGTACTTATGGAAATCGGCAATTATGCAGGAAGTTTTGGCTAGCCATCCTGCTTTTGGCAGCATATCTACTCCAAATTTGCTGTGAGTACAAACATACATATACTATAAGGTATATTTGCATATACACATTAGAGATTGGTAAATATTATTGCGAACATACATATGTATGTATGTACATATTCATTGTACATATGTATCTACATTAGGGTGGTCTAAAATGCTAAGCTCTCACCGCTGGGATTTTTTTAAAGGGAATAAAAAAACTTGTTTTTTTTTGTAAAAAAATAATATTTAGGACTGCCCATGAAGTTTTCCATATATGTATTTTATATGGAGGAAAAACACTTCTTCATAGAAATGGTATAGAATTCTTGAAAATTAATGTTTTTCGCCCAGGAAACTCTGAAACTCTGTTTCTCTTCAGGAGCCCTCCAGTAATAATTCCCGATTGTTTATTTTACTATTTTTTATATGGGTCCCCCATTGCATTTTTTTGGGTTTTCGGGAGACCTATAAAAAATTGCTAATACTAAAAAATG